TCACCTTCTTATTCTCCTCGTAGCTCCTGCAGCTTGTTCTTTCTCTAGATCTCTCATTAAACACAAAGACTAAAAGCCAGCTTAAGGTGGAAAAGTCACAGACACATTTTTTTCTTTTTTTAATATTTATTTTATTGACAATTGATTTACAATGTTGTGTTAATTTCTCCTGTACAGCAAAGTGATTCTGTTATGCATATATATATATATATATATACATTCTTTTTCATTTTCTTTTCCATTATGGATATTGAGTATAGTTGCCTGTGCTATACAATTGGACCTTGTTGCTTATCCATTCTCTATATAATAGTTTGCTTCTGCTAATCCCAAACTCCTGAGCCTTCCTTCCCCCACTCCCCCTCTCCCTTCTCAACCACAAGTCTGTTTTCTGTGTCTGTGAGTCTGTTTCTGTTTCATAAGTAAGTTAATTTGTGTCATATTTTAGATTCCACATATAAGTGATATCATATGGTATTTGTCTTTTCTCTTTCTGACTTATTTCACTTAATATGATAATCTCTAGGTCCATTCTTGCTGTAGCAAATGGCATTATTTCATTCTTTTTTATGGCTGAGTAGTATTCCATTGTATATATGTACCACATCTTTTTTTTTTTTTTTAAGAAGATGTTGGGGGTAGGAGTTTATTAATTAATTTATTTATTTTTGCTGTGTTGCGTTTTTGTTTTTGTGTGAGGGCTTTCTCTAGTTGTGGCAAGCGGGGGCCACTTTTCATCGGAACCCGCTCCCCCTGCATCGGCAGGCGGACTCTCAACCACTGCGCCACCAGGGAAGCCCTGTACCACATCTTCTTTATCCATTCATCTATCAATGACCATTTAGGTTTTTCCATGTCCTGGCTATTGTAAATAGTGCTGCAATGAACATTGGGGTGCATGTATATTTTTGAACTATAGTTTTGTCCGGATATTTTCCCAGAAGTGGGATTGCAGGGTCATATGCCAACTCTATTTTTAGCTATTTGAGGAACCTCCAAAATGTTTTGCATAGTGGCTGCACCAATTTACACTCCCACCAACAGTGTAGGAAGGTTCCCTTTTCTCCACACCCTCTCCGGCATTTGTTACTTGTAGACTTTTTAATGATGGCCATTCTGACCAGTGTGAGGTGGTACCTCACTGTAGTTTTGATTTGCATTTCTCTAATAATTAGTGATGTTGAGCTCTTTTCATGTGCCTGTTGACCATCTGTATGACAGACACATTTTTAAACATCTAATACTGTGTTCATTCCTCCATTCCAGAGGATCAGCTAGAATTTGATACACAGAAAGGAGGATCAAGACGTGAAAATCCAAGGAACGTAAAATGATCAACCTGTGTAAATTACCTGAAACCAAGTATGGGACACAGGCTGTCCCAGTGACAATTGGCTCATTCTAAATTAACCAGGTTCCTAGAGCAAAATGTTTCTTTTCTTCATAAGCCATGGTGCTAAGCAAATAGTGAAGACACAGAGTGCAGTGTGTTTTGGCTTTTCCATTTCACCTTTCCAGAATCCTAATTAAGGATATTACAGATTCTATACACAAGATCATTTTGCAGTTGGTTGACAAAATATTTGCACTGTATGTGTCTGGATCCAAGTGGTGACCAAGGGCTCTTGTAGATCAAGTTTCCAATTGGAATTGATCATTCTCTCTTCTATGAGCTTAAAGAAATTTACTTTTAATCTTATTTATGGGCTCTGCCATATCCTGCCAATATGTCTATTTATAGAAGTGCTTGTTTATATATTTATCTGGAGGTCTTTCTCTTGAAGCAGCCACTTATTAAAATAAGTAGGAAAAGTATATACTTCTTACTTTTGTTTTGATACTGGTCTTTTGGGATTTTGAGAGCCAATGTGCATAGCTTGTCTCAGAGGCATACTGAAAAGATGAAAGAAACTTGGATGAGCAAATTGACATGTATCCAGAACTCGAGAGTGGTTACTAAAAGTTCAGATTGGAACTCGTGGTCTTTATTATCTGTCATTCATTTCACAAGGAAAGAGCCTAGAATACCTTCCCCCTCCCTCCTCACTACTTGTTTCATACTAGGCAGAAAAGTGTGTTGCAAAAAGACCTTCACTCTGTTAAGACAGGAAGCTCATAAAATTGCATCAAAGAATCTAGCTCAGGAAAGGCAGCTTCCCAGACATCCTCTAAATGGTGCCTTTGATTTCTCATGTGCTGTTTTCCTTCAAATGCTTAGACAGGTCAGACATTTCTGTTTACAGTAGAGAGATCCACATCATCTAACATTGGTGAATCATTATCTCCCACCTTGAATTCTGTGGCCACATAAATCATCTTGATTTTGATGAATAGAACTATTGGGTAGGAAAAGGAAGAATGATGGACAAGATTTTGGTACCAGCTCTACTTCTGGTTAACTCTGTAATCCTGGGCAAGAAACCTGGCATATCTTGCCTCAGAGTCCCATCCAACATAAAACGTGTATAAAAGTATACCTGGGGCTTCCCTGGTGGTGCAGTGGTTGAGAGTCCGCCTGCCGATGCAGGGGATGCGGGTTCATGCCCCGGTCCGGGAAGATCCCACATGCCGCAGAGCGGCTGGGCCTGTGAGCCATGGCCGCTGAGCCTGCGCATCCGGAGCCTGTGCTCTGCAACAGAAGAGGCCACAACAGTGAGAGGCCCGCATACCGGTAAAAAAAAAAAGAAAAGTATACCTGTTTTGTGCTCTTATATGTTGTAAAATGAACAAATGGAATAATGTAAGAAAATGTACTTTAAGCTTTTTAGAACAAAATAGTAATAAGAGTCTAGGTTTTACTACTAATAATTTACTAACATCTTCTTCCTTCAGGGATTTATGTTTTGTCTTACTCTTTGGGCCAAGCATCCTTTATCCTATTTTGATTCTTTCTGTGACCTATAATGAAACACAAAGAATGAGAAAATAGAGTCTGCACATGTGCTTGTTTTACTGATGAATTAGGGAAGCCCTGGCGGCAGCTAGCAAGAGGTTAAAAGTTTAACAATTCCAGAGCCTTCAAAGATCAGAATGGATTGCAAAAAACTAGGACCAAAGCTAAGTATTTTCTCCCCTTTTGTTTTCCTTATTTCAATTCTTTTGCCTTTATCTGCTGTCATTCATTTGTAGTCATTGAATGACCCCTTTCCTAGCTTCTCTTACTGACAGTAAACAATTGTCTTTCAGGTTTATTGAAGTATAATTGACAAATAAAATTACATTTAAAGCGTACAACATGATGATCTCCTTATGTGTATACATTGTGAAGGGATTCCCACTAATTTAATTAACATATCCATCACCTCACATATTTATTTTGTTTTATTTGGTGAGAACACTTAAGTTTTACTCTCTTAGGAAATTTCAGTTCTATGGTATAGTATTATCAACTGCAGTCACCATGTTATAATTCGATCCTCAGACCTTAGTTCTCTTACAACTGAAAATTTGTACCCTTTTACCGACTCTCTGTTTTCCCCACCACCCAACCCCTGGCAACCACCAGACTTTTTTTTTTTTCTAAGATTCCATCTATAAATGATACCATGCAGTGTTTGGCTTTCCATGTCTGACTTATATCACGTAGCATAATGTCTTCCAGGTTCATCCATGCTTTTGCAAGTGGCAGGATTTCCTTCTTTTTTTTTTTTTTTTTGCGGTACGCGGGCCTCTCACTGTTGTGGCCTCTCCCGTTGCGGAGCACAGGCTCCGGACGTGCAGGCTCAGTGGCCATGGCTCACGGGCCCAGCCGCTCCGCGGCATGTGGGATCCTCCCAGACCGGGGCATGAACCCGTATCCCCCACATCATCAGGCGGACTCTCAACCACTGCACCACCAGGGAAGCCCTCCTCCTTTTTTAAGGTTGAATAATTAACAAATATTTTTGAGTTCCTGTTAGTTAAGTGCCAGACTGGGAAGATTCTGGGAAAAAGCAGTGGAGAAGGCATGCCCCTTTTCTTCTTTCTTCAGGGATCTTATATTCTAAATTGAAACAGTCAAATAAACCTGTTTGTTTCTTCTTAGAAGTTTATATAAGTGAGACCTAAAACATGGCAAACTAAGAAGACAGGCTAGAGGTCTGGGGGCTGGGTTGGGGGGCACTCTGGGACCAAACAATAATTAGCAATTTGGATGTTAAATGAACTTTGTGACCTCAAAGACAAAAACTTGGTAAGTGTTGTTTCATAATATTTCCATAAATGAGGGATAGTCTCTGCCAACAATTTATTTTCTAATACATAAAGCTTCAAATAATAGGAAAAGAGCTTATCCGATAAAGAAAAATCTTGTAATTATAGAATACTTTTTAAATCCTGTTTTAATTTTAGACTCATAAGTAGAAAGGAAGCAATGAAATATTTCAAAGAGGAGGATTGGTTTAATTAATAAACTAGGTTCTTCTGCAAGTGACATCTTCATAAATCTACAAATGATGCCAAACTGTATGAAAATAATTTAAAAATTAGATTAAATATTCATGCTCATTATAATAATACGTTATATATAATTTATTATTTAGCACTTTTTTGTTTTCACACATTTTGCAAAGATATACTCTCATATGAATTCCAAATTTCCAAAGTCCAAAATCAGCTGATTCTTAATTAGTAAAGCTTCAATTCATGGGATTTGACTGTGCGTGAAGCCAGTGATCAACTTCCTCACTTATTAACAGCCATTTCTTCCACTAGGCAAAATATATTTAGTGCCTTTTAGTAACATAGAAGTGTTGGGTTTTTGTTTTTAAACCTGAAACAAAGTACAATATCATCTCCTTAAATATTTGTCGTTGTTTCTTATCGGATTAGAGCACAAAAGACACGTCCAAATTTTTGGTTGTTTTATGTAGGTGAAAGGTGAATACAGTTATAATAAAGAAAAACTTATTGTGCCTTTATGTTGTTATTGAAGACATTTTTTTTAATGCCTAAGCCTGCCTGTTTAGATATAGGTCACTTTAATTTTATTTTTACAGTAAAAAATGGTCTTTTGCTTACAGTTAATATCTCCATGTCAAATGATACCACATTGGCTCCTGAAGATTTGCCAACTGTTTCTTCTACTGACGCAGTAAGTGGCTTAGTATTTCAGATCATTTGCATATTGTACACTCTAATAATATTCATAATATGATGTCTCCCACCACTCAGCAAGCCTAGTCTGAACACATATTTAATAGTCAGTGATGGTACAGGGACAAGAAAAACATTTTCTGTACTCTAGTCAGCTTTTTTTCCTTTTCTTTTTTCTTTTAAACTTAACTGCACTTAAAGTGCAACATACTTTTCAAACCTTCTCAGGAATTTGACTGTTCTGTCCATTAATTGTCACCTTGAAATATTTTCACAAGGGAAAGTGAGCGAAGTTGCAAAGTGAGAGCGTAGTATCCTCTCTTTTTTTCTAGTACGATTACGAATTCTTCTGACTACCAGATGGTGCTGTGTTCCCTTCACTGAGGGTGACTGTAGCAGGACACTTCCCGTGTCACTTAGAAAGGACCGTGCCTCTGTCACATGATATCCTTTCCCATGGCTTGTAACCAAGGATCTTTAAGAGACTGGAACTAAGCTTTAAAAATGAGCTGTTTTGCATGGAAGGTCGCACACTGGAAGAAGACTTTTGTGTTAGAGAAAAAGGGGAAAGTGCTGTTTCAGACTTGTAATTGTGTTCCTTCTACACTGGATATGGAATCTTACCAAAGAATATCAATCTCTCAGTTATAAAGACAGAACCCATACATAATACTTTGTATTGATCGAGTGCCCATCTCTCAGGAGACCAGAACACTTCTGCAGATATTATATAATCAGTGCCCACAACATCCCTTTCAAAGATGATGCTTTGTATCTTTCCTGGACAACTCTCACTTGACCCTGTTTCTCTCTTGTTTTCATATTCAATGGCTCTCTTGACTTCTTTCCTTACTGTTTTCTCTGACTTTCTCCAAACTTTGCCTCTCTGTTTCTTCCATGTTTGAGAGCGTGTGTGTGTGTGTGTGTATAGTGTGTGTGTGTGTGTGTGTGTGCGCGCGAGAGAGAGAGTGTGTATATGAAAGAGACTATGTATATGTTTTAAAGGCCACATACAGAAGAGAGTTCAGTTTTCAATCTTCAAGCCAGTCAGCCAGCCTAGTGCCTAAAAGGATGTGACTAAAACACAGAGAAAAATACTTTCTTCTAGACTTTTAAGGAATTTAATTAAAATCTAAGTAAAAATTTAAAATATATATGTAACTAATTAAAACAGTAAGTTCATTTGCAATAAAAATTAATAAAATACTTCCAATGCCTTAAAAAGAGATTGTTTCCTAACTTGTTTTTGTAACTAATCAAGAAAGCTTTAAAATTAATGAATTTTTTAAGCCCTGTCTTTGGGCAAGTCCTGGAGAGACTCTAGTAATTGATATGTAATTATAATAAGATGTCACTATAAGATTCATGGAAAACAAATGGAAGTTGTGGTTGACTTCTGGTATGACCATGACAGAGGACATGAAGGCACAATAATGATGATAATTTAGCTACCATTTACAAAGCATCTACAAGAGACCAGGTGTTTTATACATATTATCATCATTATAAACCTTAATATGTATTGTAATCATTAACACAACCTACTGGGCATAATTATCTCCATTTTATATATGAGAGCAACTGAAGCTGCAGAAGGTAAATAACCTTTCTTGCCCTAGGTCACATAGCGATAAATTAGTAGAACAAAGATTGAGCTGAAGTTTGGATGGTTCCACGACCTGTGCTATTGCTAATGCACCGTGATGCTTCAGTGTTTGCAAATTGGAATGTTTACTATTGTTTACTTTTTTAGTTCCTATGAATGCTCTATACTCCAGGGCAGCAGTCCCCTCATGTGTGTATCAGTTGCACACCTTAATTAAAATGTTAAGTTGCTATGTCCAGCACCTCTAGAGAAGAAATTAGGGAAAAATATATAATGTGTGTGTATGTAATTATAAAGGACAACTTTTATTCTGTTCTTTGTTTCTCCTTTTCTCTATCTATTCCTTTATGTATACTTTGCATAAACACACACACACACATATATGTGATCCAAAAATGAGTGTTAGAGAGGTAATACGATTTATTATCATCACTTATAGCACCTACTATTGAGCACCTACTAGGGGCCAGGCTCTTTACATTAATTGTTTATAATCCTCACAATACCTTTGTGAGTTATGATGTTACCTGTTTTTTATAGATGAAACAGAGGCTTATAAAGGTTAGCTGACTTTCCAAAGGCCATATGACAAGTATATAGTAAAATCAGAATTTGGACTCAGGTCCTTCTAACTCCAAAATCTGCATATTTCCATTCTTTGGGGAAGCAGAATAGCATGTCCTGTAGAAGGATTTACAGATACTTAGTTCTCATGTCAGACTGGTTGCAAAGACAGTGCCCCACTACTTTAAAAACAGGCTGTGGAACCTTCTCAGCTTCCCATCTATAAAATGGTGATGATAAGAGTATTCCCTCAAAGATGCTAGAAGAGCCAGATTAATAAATAGGCAAAACTTCGCAGAGTGGCTGGCACATACTTGTATGTCAATCAATGTTAGGTACTGTTTTTATGCTATTTAGGTGTTCTTATCATTCTACTGGGCCGTTTGTCACCAAAACTCAGATTGGTGAAGAGAAGAAATTGAAAGCCACTGCTTCTGACCACCTACTGGGTCCTCTGTGTGTTTGGCCACACTAGCTCAGTTCCCCTGAACCTTTCCTAAGACCTACAGTCAGCAGGACTTTATTTCCTTCTTTTCATTTGGCCATAATTAGATCATGAAAGAAGGTGCTGTAAGAGTGACATGCAGCCCCTGGGCACCCATGAGACGCCCTCTCACAAGGCCCTAAGAACATCCTGTCAGAGGAAGGAAGGTCTTTTCTTTTCAGCTTCATTAGCATGAAGACAAGCTTTCTTCTTCCTTGTGGTATGGGTTTGTTTTCTGGGGGAAACGGCAGGAAAAACGGGGCATGAGAGCATTTAGACAGAAGTTAGAACTCAAGAATAACCACCCTTCAAGATAAAATCCAGATTTTCCATTATTTGCATTTATTGTTGGAATCATTGTGTCTTTAAATCTTCTCACCTTCATCAGTTTTCCCATTGATTTCTCACTTGGAATATCCCTTCAGCCTGCAAAACACAGCTCTTTAAAAGGGCTCTGTAAATCTTTGAGACCAGCCACAGCTTATCCACACTGTCTCTAAGCAATTAGTGTTGAGATTTGCTGGCTTCCACTTACCAGCTCTTAGAGGGAGAGAACAGATTTCAAAATCTAATGTCAGAAGCTTCTCTTCTGAAGATGTGATAGAATGGATCGGTTAGTATTTGTTTTTCATGTTAGATTCCTTTTTGTTTTCGTTTTTTATTAAATTGAGTTGTACCTTAAAAGACACAGTTCTTATGTGCTCATTGCAATGAGTTTTGACAAGTTTTTACCTCATGTAACCACCACACAAAACAAGGTATAGAACATTTCCATCATCCCAGAAAGTGCTATGAAATGCTCTATTTCCTGTTTTATGCCCCAGCTTTTTGAGCCTTGGGAGATCTTTCTTTGCCAAACTGCTCTGCCTCGCCCGCCCCCGCCGCCACCTTCAGAGGGCAGATGCCTTAGCCCTTTCAGAAGTAGCTGAATGCCACGGAGGGGTTTCTCTCTGCTCTCCTGCCCTGCTTCCCATCTTAGGAAAGTGGCTTTCTTGCATTTGATGGAGACTCTGGGTCTAAGAGGGGTTTCTCTCAGCTCTTCTGTTGAATCTCCAGGCTTTTCTGAACTATCTGTGCATTTGACAAAGGCCATTAGAAAGTTTGGTGGGTGGACGGACGCAGGCTTTGTCGACACCTGAGACTCCACAGAATTCCAACGTGTCACCCCAGACTACAGGCAACCATTAAAAATTCATTAAAGATTTGGCTTATTTCTCCACCCCTCCATCTAAAGTGCATTTATCTTCCACCTGCTACTCTGCCAGGGATGAGATGGCCATGGATCTCTTCTCTCCTATGAAACTCTTGTAACTTTGGAATTTAGTTTATTTAGGTTTCTTTGCATCCTCATGTCACTGGTGGAATTTTTTAAACTATGATTTTATAGCTTATCCTGCTTGCTTTTATTGTTAGGTTGGGACAACTAACAGTCTCCTGTAACTTTCTATATCTTAATCATAAGTAAGCAACCAGTTAGTTTTGGTATTTCACAACAGTATATATAACTACAGTCACAGCTCACATACATCCTGTAGACCATAAAGTAAGATTGCAGATCACTGCAAGTCTGGCTTACCCACTGCAGGGGAAAAGTCCTAAATGAGTACATTAACCACTTAACCTTGAAACTTTTATTTGTAGCATTACCCTCATTTATATGTATGTTTGAATATAAATATACATGTGTGTGTGTTTAAAGGCTTATATTTTACCAGTTGATACTCAAAGAGAGCAACGTAGACTCTTTTAATTTTTATTTTTGAATTTTTTTGCTTATTGTATTACCCAATGAAGCATATCATGATAGTCTACATGGAGATGCTGTTAATCATGGGCCTAAGGCCTGTTAAAGTCTCATAAACACCGCTTGGCCGTCAGACATGGAAGTAAAAGTGCTTTGATTTGATGTACCTTCAGGGTGATTCTAGGAGCTAACATTCATTTTCATGGGAAATGGAATGTCATATTAATCTTCTTGTGCATAGCATCCTTGTGATTTTCTCTCATTAAGAAAGTGAAGTGCAAAAACTTCTGTCCTTAAATCTCCTTAAAGAGTACATGTTCCTAACTTTTAAAAATATTATGGAAAATTTAAAACATGCACTAAAATAGAATAGTACAATAAATCCTCATATGTACACATCACCTAGCTTCAATGACTGTCAAAATTTTCCCCACTGCCTCTCATATATCCCCCACTTTTGTCTTTGCGGAGGCTACTATGGTGTTCCAAATTTTAAAATTAATCCTTCAGTGTACATTTTGCTTTTAAGATTTATAAACATATTCACTCAATACAAATAGGGTCATCCTCTAGAAAATGACATCCATAAAAATAGGTGGAAATTTCTTTTCATGAGATTGATCTCAGTTAAGACCATCAGCAACTTGGTCCCATTTCCTTTGCACCTTTTTTCTCACTACCCATTTACATGGACACTCTGCTCTGGTCCACTCACTGTGAGTTCCTCCTCATGGTGAGCATTCAATAAGTGGTGCCTAAAGGACTTACTGGATGAGTGAATGAAGCACCATATGTCCCCGAATCCGCATCTTTGCTCATGGTGTCTCTCCATCTAATGCTTTACCTCTTTGTTTCTGCCAACGCAGAAAGAAATATACACCCCAAGTTTGTCACTTTTATTCCCCTCTTCATTGGCTTTTGTTACTCCCTCTGTCATTCCTTTCTAGTTTTGTTGTCCTGCCACA